AAGGTCTGGTTATGGAGGACACTTACCTGAGCTAGAAGCAAGTGACGAAGGTGGCATTGATGTATCTGATGTGGGATTGGTATTGCGCTGAAGCGTGTTGACTCAGGGAACTGTGAACTCATTGTAATCATAATTTTTGATAATATAAGTGACGGGTCTTGGTCCTATTCTCATCTACCTTTGTCTCGTGTGTGGCAACTGTGTCCATTGAGTGTGAAGACGATGTTTGATGTATGCACATCTGCGTGAGTTGGTCCCCAGGACCCATGCACTGGTCATTCCAAAGTGCAAATTCACAATGAAAGACGATGCCACCCAATTGCGAAAGAAATGAAAGCACTTGCAAAGAGATAGAGACCAAAGAAGAGAGAAAGAAGAAGAAGATGTACACCAGCAAGACCAATGACAAATCCCCCTTCTCTCTCCACCTTCCTCCTCCTTCACTTCGCCAATCTTATTCTTCTTCCAATAATAATAATAACAATGAGTGAATGAACCAGAATCAATATCCGAAGTTCCCTCTTACTGCTGACAGCACAATAGGTCCACCACAGCTATGGCTTCCCCCACTTCTTCCACCTCTCACAAGACTAGGCTATGGCGGACAACTGAGGGCTCTGCCCTCCTGTGCAAAGGACAACACAAAGCAGCTATGTCGCTGCACTCCTGTTCAAAGGACAACCCAAAGCAGCTATGCCGCTGCTGACTAAGCCGCCATGCCTGACTCTGCCTCGAGCTTCCTTGGTGCGGCACGGCACTACCCCAACAGGGGCCTTCCAGATGCAGCGCCCAACAAGGTGATGAAGATGGTGTCCACCATAGCCAGGTAGGTACCTCGCCACTCTCCTCCTTCGCCCCTTTCTTCCTCCTCCTCAAGATGGGCTGCTCGCCATAGCCAGACTGAGCGCCCAGCTGCTCTTCCCCTCCAGGCAGCGCTGCACAAGTCCAGCACTTGGCTCAGCAGCATGTCGCCAATCCTTGCATACCGCAAATGAGGAGGTGCTTGCTCCTCCGGAAGATATAGCGGCCTACTGGCCTCTTGGGCGGTGACTTCCTAGGCCGAGCGGCCTCCCAGCAACTGGTACCTTATCCCTTTCGGAGGGAAACATCATTGCAGGCTCTGCTATCGTCCGGACAGGCCCTAGACTCAGGCTACTTGGACTGGTACCGGCCTACCTCTAACCTACCGCTACTGGGCCTCTAAAAATGCCAACTTTTGTCTTCATCTGCTCGGCCTCCAGTACCCGACACTTCTACCACTACTTGAGTGGTACCGGCCTACCTGCTACTTGAGTGTTTTTCCCGCTGCAACCCTCAAAGTCACGGCCACAGGTAAGTACCGGCCCTGCGGGGCCTTTCAACCAACAAGTACCCTTGCAGGTCACACACACATTCAGCCGACAAGCACTCAGACAGGCACGCACACACACACAGACTTGGAAACCACAGCAGAATGCGGGGATCTCAGCAACGCATTCATTCCAGCAGCAAATCCCAGAAATCAGCAGTGTTCTCATCTGTGTTTTGGCGGCTCATTACAGATTCCAAATCTGCACAATCACATTGAATGCCAGAAAGTCCCACTGTTATGAACATGATTGGCCATTGAAATTTTGTCAACGCTCACACACAGGAACTCCCGTACACGCCCATACATGCACAGAAGGAAGGGGAGAGGTAGTGGAGTGTCACACCGCCCAACAAAAGAAACGCAGCGGAAGACTCAGGGGAGCGAAGTGACAGAATACACAACACAGTGAATTCTCTCCACAGGAGTCCCAACAATCATTCATAGAAGACAACCGATTACAGCCAGAAATCAATGAAGAGATGACAACTCAAACACAGTATTATAACTGTTTATTAAACTCAGAGCATCGTTTTCCCTGAATATCCTCAGATCCCTGTGGCGCTACCCTCAGAGGGGTAGCGCCTCAACCCCACCACCCAGAACAGCTAAAAATAGCACCGAAACCCCGGATAACACCCAGCGCCACCCTGACATCCAACTCAGTGGCCTGCGCCAAAGTGAAACAGGCTCCCAGAGCCAATCGCCACCCAGATGCTGAGGAAGAAGCTCAGCGCCAACAGTCCCTGATGAAGATGAAGTCCAGACGATGATATCTCTGAGAAGATGCAGCTATGGCTGCATCGCCACTGGGACCCTACTCCTGAGGAGGGTCAGCAGTGCACCACGTGCTCCAACGCATCAGACCTCTGATAGCCCAAACCACTTTGACTCTCAGAGAGTCAGAGCGGACAGTGTTGACCCCAGTCTGGTCAACGCTCCGTAGGTATGGCTATGTCCACCGTATCCAACACCGGACTCAGCAACCACGACCTGATACCATGTGCGCAGCAACTTCCACCACGAAGTGTCAACTGCCAAAAGCCCAGGACCGATGTCCCCATCCTATCTATACTCTAACACTAGCCTAGACCGACCTAGGCCGGACTGACTGACCGACCGGTACCGTTTCTGTTTCGGCCTTTAGGGCCTAACCCTACCCGGCGATAGGCTATAGGACCGTCTATCAGTGTAGGGCCATGGGGCCTGTCTGTCCTAGGGGTAGCCCAGGTCTGCTATTCGCAGTTACGGTATCTGTAGGAAGGTCGAGTTAGTACTGGGCCCATATTTCTATATTTACAGATATGTCCCTCACGAATTTTCCATACAAGCAGGTCTCGGTTAGTCCTCAGCCAAACAAACAGCCTCATCTGAGTGAGGCTACAGGCAACCTGGAACCAGCAAGATCATTGCAGACCTGCCCTCCCCCGGAGCGAGGACCTCCGAGCTAGGGGCATAGGTGTGCAGAGCGTCGAAGGGGTTCTCCCTTCTGTGCAGCCTCATATTTGAGGATAACAGACTTTGCTGTTTTTGGAAGTTCCTTGCTAGTAAAGTAGCGATCCTCAGTATGAGGCTGGTAGAGACACTTCACAAGGTACTCCTTATCCGAGCCTGTACCATACTCATCCTCAACTTTTTCCACCTCATATCCCTTCCTAGGGATCGGGGGACCAAATTGAGGAGGCCTGTCTGGAAATGCATCAGCTGGGACAAATGGCAACAACTTGGATGCATGAAAGACAAGGTAGGTTTGTAGATGCAGTGGGACATCTACATGATAAGATGGCCCGGAAGGGTCAGCTCCCACTGTGTCTAAAACCTGCCATGGACCCATGTAACGCGGCAACAGCTTGGGTGAAATGTCCTCCTCCCAGGATAACTCAGAACTGAGCACCCAGACCCAATCACCAGCGCGGATGGGGGATGGTCAACGATGCTTGTTAGCCTGCTGGATCATAGCCTTTTGGGCTTTGAGCAGGTTAACTCTGGCTCGTTCGATATCCCTCTGGTACTGTCTGGTGAACTCTGTAGTCCCAAGAGTCAGTCTCGGAGTAGCCTTATCGATGATATCATCGAGAGGGTGTCGTGGCTCACGACCCCAGTGCAATCGATAAGGGGTGAACCCTGTGGAGGAGTGTACAGACATGTTGTAGACTAGTTGTGCCTGTCCAAGATGGAGATCCCAATCCTGCTGATCAGGGCTGATCACAGGACGCAGCAACTGAAAAAGAATCTGGTTCATCACTTCAGCCTGCCCATTGGCTTCACGATGATGACCAGATGTCATATCCAGTCTGCAATGAAGGTAGTCCTTGCAATAGGACTCCCATTCATTGCTGCAGAACCGCGGATCTCTATCACTGACAATAGAGGTGGATGGTCCATGGTGAGTAACCCACCTGTCAGCAAAGGCCTCCTTCACGACCGGGACTCTGGCTTCCTCCGGCAAAGGAATAAACTCCGCATACTTGGAGAACCTGGCCACACACACCATGACCTGACGCATACCATGAGTAGTAGTCCTCCCCAGGTCAGTGAAATCAATAGCCACTGACTGTGTTGGTGCCTCAGGGACGGGAAGTGGCTGCAATAGGCCAAGGGGAGGCCGGCGAACGACCTTGTTCCTTTGGCACAACTCACAGGTCTCAACATAGTGCAACAGGTCTTTCCTAATCTCTGGCCAAAAGAACCGCTGCGACAGGGCTGCCAACGATTTTAAGGCCCCAAAGTGGGCGCGAGCATCATAGCACTCAGACATAACGAGTGTTCTCAGCTGGCGGTCGTGAGAGATGCACAGACATTCCTCTCCTCTGCTGCAAGTATACAGCAGATCTGAAACCAGAATGTATCCTGGTTCAGAGGCAGAATCAGTTTGTTGATTCCTAACGATCGAGCCAAAAGTCGGGTCCTGTGGCAATAGCTGGGCAATGGACTGACGGGTGTTCTCCCCAAAGGTATGAGTAGAGGAGATCATGCAGAGAGCGTCAAGCCTACGAGAAAGGGCGTCTGCCACACGATTGTAGCAGCCCTTCTTGTGTTTCAGTTCAAAGTCAAAGAGATCAATGAACTGAATATAGCGCGCGAGCTTATCATTCAGTTCCCCTTGGGTCTTCATCCACTGTAAGGTGGAGTGATCTAAATAGATCCGGAAGTGCCTACCCATGAGGAAATGTTTCCAATGCTTTAGCGCTGACACTAGAGCATAGAGCTCTTTCTCGTACGTGGAATCCTGCAGCTTCTTGACTTTGATCTTCTTACTCATGTACTCAACTGGTTGCAGACCATGCCCAATATCCTGCTGAAGTACTGCCCCAACCCCATACTGGCTAGCATCAGTAGTTAGAACGAAGGGCAGGGTAGGGTCAGGTAACTTCAGAACCGGTGCACGCATCAAGGCCTCCTTGAGGCGTGTGAAAGCCTGCTGACAGTCTGATGTCCAAAGAAAGTGGGTGTCTTTCTTTGTGAGGTCAATCAAGGGTGCAGCAATGGCAAAAAAGTTCTTAACGAACTTTCTGTAGTATGATGCAAGACCCAAGAATGATCAGACATCACGCACTGTGGTAGGCTGTGGCAAGCTGTGGCAAGTCCTGAATCGCAGCAACCTTTGTTGCCTCAGGAGCTAGCCCTTCCCCAGAGATTACATGTCCCAGATAAGATACAGAAGTCGCTCCAAAGGAGGACTTTTCTTTGTTGATCTTATACAGGGCCTCATGTAGTGTCTGGAGAACCAGAGCCAGATGTTGCGCATGCTCCTCGACAGATCGACTGAATACCAGGATATCATCCAGGTATAGAACTACAAACCTGTTCAGGTAAGGCCTGAGTATGCGATGCAT